CACGAAAGCTTATGCTCTAATAAATTTGTTAGTCTCTAAGGTGCCACAAGTACTCCTGTTCTTCTTTTTGCCTGAAAGAAGTGCAGCCACTAGAGACTGCTGAAAAGTGGTGAGAGAGACCTTCCTTTGAATTCACGCTAGTTGGTTAAGTTAGGCATTAGTTGCATTTTACTTTATTTTTCTTGTAACCAATTCTGACTTATATGTCTCATTATTGGCATTCACTTAAAATCAATCTCTTTGTAGTTAATAAACTTGTTTTATTGTTTTATCTAAACTAGTGTGTTTGAACTGAAGTGTTTGAGAAACTCCATTTGGGATAACTATGTGTGCATATCATTTTATATTAATAAAATGATGGACTTTATATGGCCTTGTATTGTCCAGGAGAGAGCTGGGCAGTACAAGAGGTATTTTGGGGGAAAGTCTGGGACTGGAGTGTTCTGGTGTCACTATGCAGCAGTGTAATCCAAAAGTGGCTGGCTGCAACGCTCCCACATTATAGCTGGGAGTAACTTACATGCTGGAGGCTGTGTGTGAGCAGACCAGAGAGGTAGGTCTCATAGCAAAGCAGTGAGAGCTGAGTGACACAGCTGTTACTCCATCTTAGAGAGCTGAGTGACACAGCTGTTAATCGGTCCAGATTGTACCCTGGGCATGTCATACATCCCTTTCCTCTCTCCCCATATCTCCTCAGGCTTTGTGTATCAGACCACTCCAAACTCTTAAAAGAGCCATGCCAGGTAATGGGAAGGATTGAATAGTAAGCAGTACTGCCTGAAAAGGGCAGACTATCCATCACACCCACTCAACAAAACTGTGTTCCAGCCAAGAACATCCAACACCAAATTCCCTGGGTTGTGCAGTTAATGAATGCAGTAGACAGCACAATACAATGGCTACCCCTTACAACAAAGACCAGAAGTGACTCAACCTCTTCAGTCATAAGTATTACTCTTATGCAGCATTGCAATTCAGAATAGCTAACCATCAAGCGCTCATGTCAAAATATAATGAATTCAACATCTTTATTGAGTATTTGCCAGAGGAGCACCACAAGCAATTTAAGGCCATCATAAAGGAAGGACAACTCTTAGCAACTCTTAGCAAAAACATAATTACAGGCCTCCTTAGATTGGCCAGTACTGCAGCCTGATCCATTTCCACTGCAATTGTGATGTGATGACCATCTTGGTTTCAGTTGTCCAGCTTCCCCACGGAGTTGCAGAGTACTGTTGAAGACCTCCCTTTTGATGGTCTCAAGTTGTTTGGTTAGTCTACTGATGACTTACTTCATACTTTAAAAGATTCAAGGGCCACATTTAGATCTCTCAGGTTTTATGTACCTGCAAATAAAAAACAATGTAGCTCAGAGATCTCACCCCATTCATTTCTCTAGTTTACGAAGATCCTCTGAGCCTCCTGCCAAGAGCCCAGGGTACTCAAAAAGGAAACCACCAGCTAAAACAGCTAACTCATCCCAGCCATCCATTTCATTCAAACATCAGTTTTGATGGCTTAGTCAAGAATCTGGACCAACCATTGCACAAGAATCTACAGCTACACTATCCCAGCCTCCTTCCCCACTTTGGATACTGCCTCTCCCAATTTCAGCCTGCATGAGGGAAAATACTGTTTGATCAATGGCTCGATGTCTAGTTGGCAGCTGGTATTAAGTGGAGTGCCCCAAGGGTCGGTCCTGGGGCTGGTTTTGTTCAATATCTTCATTAATGATCTGGAGAATGGCATGGATTGCACCCTCAGCAAGTTTGCAGATTACACTAAACTGGGAGGAGTGGTAGATACGCTGGAGGGTAGGGATAGGATACAGAGGGACCTAGACAAATTAGAGGATTGGGCCAAAAGAAATCTGATGAGCTTCAACAAGGACAAGTGCAGAGTCCTGCACTTAGGACGGAAGAATCCCATGCACTGCTACAGATTAGGGACCGGGCGGCTAGGCAGCAGTTCTGCAGAAAAGGACTTGCAGAAAAGGGGTTACAGTGGATGAGAAGCTGGATATGAGTCAACAGTGTGCCCTTGTTGCAAGAAGGCTAACAGCATTTTGGGCTGTATAAGTAGGAGAATTGCAGCAGATCGAGGGATGTGAAAAATTGGGAAGAGTCCAGCGGAGGGCAACAAAAATGATTAGGGGGCTGGACCACATGACTTATGAGGAGAGGCTGAGGGAACTGGGATTGTTTAGTCTGCAGAAGAGAAGAATGAGGGGGGATTTGATAGCTGCTTTCAACTACCTGAAAGGGGATTTCAAAGAGGATGGATCTAGACTGTTCTCAGTGGTACCAGATGAGAGAACAAGGAGTAATGGTCTCAAGTTGCAGTGGGGGAGTTTAGGTTGGATATTAGGAAAAACTTTTTCACTAGGAGGGTGGTGAAGCACTGGAATGGGTTACTTAGGTAGGTGGTGGAATCTCCTTCCTTGGAGGTTTTTAAGGTCAGGCTTGACAAAGCCCTGGCTGGGATGATTTAGTTGGGGATTGGTCCTGCTTTGCGCAGGGGGTTTGACTAGATGACCTCCTGAGGTCCCTTCTAACCCTGATATTCTATGATTCTATATAGGCTCCTATTATCCCCCACCCCCTGTCCCAATTTTTCACATTTGCTGTCTGGTCACCCTAAGTAGTGGTGAAATGCCTCATAACCTTCTGAGAGTGTCACAGTAACCTCTTCTTCCAACCCTGCAGATGATCCAGGTGGGTGTCAATATGTTGCAACATGATGGAATTTCTGTCTTTGTAGTTTACTATATTAAAAATCTAGGCAACTGCATATAACAAACTATGTTAACGGAACATTATTAAGGCTGCAAAGTCAAGAACACCCAAGTTAGGAAATGCCAGAATTAAAGTTGTCTGTGCAATCTTAATTTGTCCCCCTTGTGGGTATGTATTAGGATTAGAGTTTGATTTACTTTCTATATTTTGATATGTGGTGTTGACAATTTTTGTTAACAGTTCTAAAGCTTTAACATTTTGAATCTCAGCATCTACTATCATTAAATAATTGTTGTCTGACCTCTGCCCCATAATTTCCTGCAACTGTGTAAATTTAAATTGATAAAAATAAAAAAATGCTAACAAATAAACATCAACATTACCCATCAAAATTATTAGAAAAAAATTAATTCTACCGAGCCTAATTATGATTCAGTACGTAATTACATGATCATATTGTTTTGCTCAAAGTACACAGAATAACCTGGTTTGGGATTGTAGTGAGGGAGGGTGGCCTCCCTCTGAGCCTGAGGGATCATTACACTCTCCCTGGTGAGTAAAACCAAGCTAGCCCTGCCCCCGCCCCCAAGCAGAGTTGAGGGACAGGAAATATAAGAGGCTGACCCTTCAGCTTAATTTGACGAGAGCCAGTAAAGGAGGCAGATGTCTCTACCCTGCTGCAGGACTCTGGACCAGACCCCAAGCTATATCGTCTCCTGTCCCTGGAAGTGGAGAGGAGCTGCTGGGACTACTGTCTGCCACTTTACCTTGAGGAGATGGAGTACCTGCAGACTATGGAGCCACACCAATGGACTGGGGTAGCCCAGGGGAACCAGACATTAGTCAGGTTGTGCTGTTGCCTTCTGAGTCAGCATGTTTTGGCAGGATCCCTGCTGACCCAGTGGTGGGGTCTCCCACCACTGTTAGGGCCCTGGGCTGGAACCTGGTGAAGTAGGGTGGACCCGGGTCCTCCTACCCCCCCACTGTTGCCAACCCCAACGCTTGGGTGATGGCTGGAAGGCCTGTGCCTTGTTTGTGGCTTGCCCCAAGGCTGCAACGCCCATAGACTGTGTTTGCTGTCTGCCTTAGTCAGGAGGCTAGCCAAAAGATGGCTTAATTGCTTGTTGCTCTGCCCTGCTCAGAAGGCCAGAGCCACTGACAATGATTGCTGTCTGCCTTAGCCAGAAGGCTCGGGCTAAAGACTGCTTATTGTGCTGTCCCACGCAGGGAGTCAGAGCCTAGACTATATTTACTGCCTGCCTTAGCCAGAAGGCTTGAGCCCAAAGACTCCTTATTGCTTTGACCTGCCCAGTAGGTCTGAGCCCAGACTGTGATTATTGTCTGCCCCCGCCAGGCGGCTTGGGCCAGACACTGCTAATTAGTTTCTGTTTATTGCCTGATACAGTGAATCAGAGTGGCCTCCCTCTGAGTAGAGTCCTGCAAATCTTCAGATATCTGCTTTATTTCTTCTGACCCAGTGGCAGATTAATCATGGGCCCATTTGGGGGCTCCCAGGAGCTCTGTGGAGAGACCCAGCCCCTCCACCTGTCCTAGGCAGGGGCTAGGGTGCCCGAGAGCAGCTCCCGGCCTGTGTCCCTGCCCCCTGGGGTAGATAGAGAGTCCGGGGGCTCTGGGGTGGCAGAATGGGTGGAAGGTGCCCTCCTACTTTTTAACAAAAGAAACCTGGCTTAGGGGCGGGTGAGAGCAGGGGGTGCCACATCATCAGCTGCGTGTGTGGCTGCAGCTCCCAGCCCCAGCTCTGCAGGCAGCAGATGAATCCCATTATGGGCAGAGGAAGCCTGCTCAGGGGAAAAGGGGGTTGCAGTGTCAGGAGATGGGGAGGGGATGGACGTAGTTTGGAGATGAGTAGTGGGTTGTACGTTTGGGGTCATGTGCCATTTCCCTCCCCCACCCCGATTTCTGCAAGCCCTGAGCTGCTCTGTTCAGCCTTTGCGGGGAGGGGGAAGAGAGAATGGGGGAAGGAAAGTGGGGTAGGCTGGAAGAGGCAGTGGGAAAGGGGGATGGGATAGGGCAGGGGGTACGAGGAAGGGGTGGGAGTGGGGGATTGGGAAAGAGACAGTGGGGAAGGGATATGGTAGGGGTAGGGAGTTGGGTGAGGGGAATCAGGGAATGTGGGGCAGATGAGGTGTAAGGTAGAGGGGAGGGGAAGGGGATGGGATGGGGAAGAGACTAGGGGAAGGGGGAAGAGGCATGGGATGGAGAAGGGAGAAGAGAAGGAGAACGGGCATGGGGTGGGGAGAGGAAGGGATAAGGATGGGGAGAGGAAAGGGTAGGGGAAGGCACTGTGCATCTGAATTGCCTGAGTAGCCAGCAGCAGCCCCTCTCCCCCATTATGTTGTCCCCCACAGCACTGGCAGCCCAGGTACCACTCCAGGTGGGTGGAGAGAGCCAGTGAGCCAGGGGAACTGTCTTCAGCACACACATGCTGTCCCCCCCCAAACATATCAGTCAAACTATACTTATGGGGGGGGGGGAACACACCTGCCCCCAGGGGCCCACCTTGGCTCTCGCTGCACCAGCATTTACATCTGTGGCTTATCCGAGCCCTCTACCAGCAGACTCTGGTGCCCACAGTGCCCGGGCCACTTGGCAACTCACTCCTCAGCACTGCTGGAAGGGGGGGGGGGGGGCTGCTCCCAGACACCTGCTTTCTTGTTCTGCTCCGGGCACTGTTGGGGCTGCAGCTCCTTCGGGCTATTCTCCATGTGGCAGCTGGGACGGGACTTCGCAACTTTTGGCTGCAGATTGCAGAAGCTGTGGTGCTAAGCGCAGGGGCCAGAGCGCAGCAACCCGATCCTGGGGCTCCAATTGCCTTTGCTCTGCCTCCCCCTGTGCCCGCCAACATGGTGCACTGTTGCACAGAGCCTGGTATCCCCCAGAACACCTTCCCCAGAGCCTGGTATCCCCCCACCCCAGGGGAATACCTTCTCTACAGTCTGGGATCCCCCTGCCCCAGAGGATACATCCTCTACAGACTGGGATCTCCTGGACATAGCCAGTCCCCAATCCAGGATCCCCCCATCCCATGGGGACACATCTAGGGCCCCCCACTCCCCTGGGCCTCCTCCCTTCCTGGGACACCTCCCTGTCACAGTTTAAACTGCCTGCACGAAGCCAAGCATATCTGCACACCACCCCATGTACATCCTCTCTCCAGAGCCCAGGGTAAAACATCCTTCTCCCTCCACCCTCTGGTGAAACAGACCCCTTTCCCCAAGATCGTGGTGCTGAGGTTCCCCCTTGGCTGGGGCTGGCGTGTGGCTCTCACACTGCTGGGAAGGGGACTCCTGAGACTATTACCTTGCTCTGCACAAACCAATACTCTGAGTAACAGGACAAAATTAAGAGGAGGAAATGCAAAGCTATCAGGGGAAATCTTCCTGGCAGTGCAATTTCTGTTTTAAGTTGTGGAACAATCTCCCAGGGGAAGGGCTGGAAATCCCCAGGCTTGGAATTTTTAAAAGGAGACAAAACACGCTGCAAGGAGCAGCCCTGCATTTGCTGGGAGAGAAACCGAGATGGGATGATCACAGAGGGGTTTTTTTGGTCCTCTAATTTCTATAATTCCATCCCACTATTCTGGGAGTACA